TGTATACAAAATACTTGTCCGAGTAAGAACCACAACAAATAATGGAAGTTTAATACCCCAGGGTTTAATGATCACCGTCCAATTTCATAGGATGCATCCGCGCGGTTAAGCATGTTTTATATTTGTGTGGTGATCTATTTGGTTCATCGAATTGGGTATCCATTATTGGTGTAACGTATCAAGCATCAAGAAATAGCTTGAATATATTCAAGAAAAAACGGCTGGTTTATCAATTACAAATCAATAATGACTTCATCTTTGGTGTATCTTTGATGTATATTTGGTAACACAACGTAAACTCACTTCTGCCTTGGCAACAGTAAAAGCTGAAGTAAATCCGACGGATTTCTCATTTGATTCGTTAGCTGTCATCATCGTCGTCAGACCGAGCATGCCAGCACCCCATAATCCCATTCCATGCATGCGCAATTGACGATCGGGTATTCTCTCCCATTCGTTTTCTTCACTGTGTCTTATCAAACGCGCATAACTCACAGTTATGTCATAACTAAGCCAAGAGGTATGTATTATTCTATGTAAAGCGGCATGAGTTGTATTCATTTTGACTTCAGGGAATTGACAACTAAAATGCATTGCTTTTCCAGCCTCAGGAACTGAGGGTACTTTATTGATGGGTTCTTCTGGTTCTGTACGATTTGGGAGTGTTGTAGTTAAATTGCTCTGTGCATTGCCCAAACTACAACGCAATGTCATGTGACCGCTTCGAAGCCCACCAGGTATTTCAAAACTGGGCACAAAACTGATGGTAATCGTGTGATTCAGATAGACCAACTCTCTTTTCGGTAGCAGGTTTCGGTGTAATATATGTGGCTGCGTCAAGTTGATAATGTAATCGTAATAGCCCAGTTGTTTCTCTAACCACACTGTACTGGTATGCATTACTTCGATCGAACCGCTTTCGGAAAACGGAAATGCTGCTGCCTTGCATATCCAGATCTCTGATTCGGGTTGATAGAAAAATTGCAGGATTTGCGTGGGCATGGAAAATGTAACTGTTTTCACTTCACTGCGCAAATCGACCGAACCTTTGTCTCCTGCCGATTTGGCAGCATACAAATCAATCACCTCACAGAAGACACGCGCGCCAAAGTCTTCTCTCCTAAGCATGGTCACTGCCAATTGAACTCGACGAAACACATTGTTCACGTCATGTCGCCGAGTAAATGTGCATCGAGCTGGATAGTAAACTTCATTGACTTTACTATACTGGATTAATTTGGTACAGTGAGTATCCGAGTGGGAGGTCAGAGAACATGGAACCTCCTGTTCGGGTAGCATATCATTTTGGAAGCTCGTTTGTCCGACAGATTCGTGACTACATATAATGATGGAAAATGTTGATGATAGATAGTACAATTTAAATGGAAGTGCATCCGCAGTAGCCGCACCCTCACAGGTCACATCCAGTCGTGTTTTTTCAGGGTACAGAGATTTTTCTAGATCTGGTTCAAATGTGATTTTCGGTGCTGTTGGACAACTGGGAATGATAAGCAAGTTTGTGATCGGTTTACTTATATGCACCATGTCTGAGGGTTCTGGCAATCGGTCAAGTGACTTCAGATTGCTTTTGGTTTTAGCTTTGGGCCACAGAAGACAATACAATCGTGCATCAGTCATATCCAAATCGATCTCAAGCCACGAGATGCTAACGAATTTGGAAGTTCCGACAGCAGTTAGTGCTCCTGTTTGTCGCCCGAGCACATGATACAATTTGGATTGAGGATCGTCTTTTTGTGATTCTTTTTTCAATAGAAAGAGTGTTTCCATTCCCGGAGCAAAACCGCTCGTGTGACACTGAAGTGCAGCTGCCCTTGTGGTCACATTTGGCCAGGTTGCCATCACCAACCTCACACCTCTGACTTTTGGTTGAATCATAGTCAATTTGGTCCAGGCATAATTGACTGCATCGTACAGCTTGTTTTGGGTGGGCGAATGTTTGATAGGTGAGATTGCGAATTAGGAGGATGGAAGGGGAGAGGATAAGCAATCTTAAACGCATTTCATTACCGAGATAAATCATATAAAAACATTCTTTTTTGACAGAATAATGGTTTTCGTCAAATAATACTCTTTGGAAATTCAACACGAAAGCTTTTGGCACATTTGTTCACATAATGTTTGTTTTATTTTTCTGACGTCACACATGCATTGGGTCGGGTCATCAGAAGGGCGGGTGGCTGAGAGCTTGGTCGAATATAGGATGGGTATTCGGAATGTGAAAAGATCAATGCTATTGGTGTGACATCGTAAGTCAGCTGATGGAGCGTGCGCGTACAAAGCGTAGGTGGCATTCATGCGTGTGTTCAAATCCTACCGAGGCTACTGAATATTTTACAATCGCCATACAGATTTCAAATCCGCCAAACACCCATTTGCAGAATATAGGAACAGTCATGACAGACTGAATGAGCTTGTAATCAGTGTTGTCCATTACATTGCATGGCTTCCACTTGGGTGACAACAAATGACTTCTAATTGCTCTGAATTGACAACATTGAACCAAGTATAGGTGAAAAAATGTGACTCGACTACGGGAGATATGAAAATGGCGGAATATTGATGCACAGGGTCCCTGTACAGTCCATCCATACCAGGTCATACAGACAAACTCGTTCAAATGAACGTATGTTTGTGCGGCCCAAGTACGTTGTTTCACAGATACGAGTAAATTAATTACTCACGAAAACCGGAGAGTGCTGAAGTAAAGCCCCTACATTTGAGGATGAAATAAAGAGGCCGTGGAATACTCATAATGCAGAGCTTTTTTGTTGCAGACGTTTATATTTCCAATACCAAAGTCTTTATGTATTTCATCCCCATCTGAGTCCAAACAGTGTGCCATAAAACAAGGTACAGTAATTTTTGAGTGTTCTTGTCTGGCAGGTACTTGTAATGCTAACGGTTAGTCGGCAGGATTCATGTGATTGTCTGAACATAGACTAACCGACATTTTATATTCTTTCCAATTTAAGATGTCCTGGCCTTCAGAGGTTCATGCAATGTAAGCACCAGTCGCCCCAATGTACAGATGCAATCAGAGATAAATTTTACCAGATAATAGGCGACCCATTGAGTAATGCGAAACTAACGCAAAATATATATCCTAGATTCAATTTGACTCATTCTACTTTCAGTTGAAAATCGGTGGATAGTATCATAGAAACTGTGATTGAGTGTCTAAAGATAACCCACATTGTCCAAAGGTCTTATTGTAAGGTCGAATCATTACATCTGAGATGTAAGTCACTGATCAACGCATGCAGTACAGACTCAAATAAGATTAGCTAAATGTTTTATTATGAGCCTACTGCGAATGGCTTCAAAAGTACTTAAATTAACTTTTAAAAGTGCATCGAGTGTTAGTCAGGGGGAATTGATAGATTATTCGAAGTGGCGTCATGGAAGATTGATGGCAGACGTGGATGCAGTACTGAGTGCATCCTCACATTATTATCGAGAAATATTAGGCCTCTGAAGCAACAGTAGTGGTGCAGTGGAGTCTAATGCTGTTATATGCATCGGAAAACCAAAACCAAACTTACGGCCGGTCATACTTACTTAGTTACACATCATTAGCGTAGTCATAAATGAGCCACTCAGACTGCATCCATTTAGTGCTTTATGAGGATTTAGTTGGCTGATTTTATTGTTGTAATTATGGTTATGAGTTCT